GCTAGATATCATAGCAATAGCACTTAGAAAACTTTCACCAGTTCACAGTGCTTTACAGCCCTCTCAAAGCAGTTTACAGAGTCAACAACAATTTGAGTCCTCATTTTACCCACCTCAGAAGGATAGAAGGCTGAATCAACCTTGAGCCAGTCAGGATCAAACTCCTGGTAGTAGGCAGAGCCAGCCTGCAATACTGCCTTCTAATCACTGTGACACTACGGCTCTTAATAATGGTAATCCTAACCCATTATTGCAATCTTCCAAATTCTATTTAGCTTGATGCTGAGATTATGAGGCAGGGAGAAAGCAGTGTATCCTTTACCATTTCCCTTCCAGTTCTTTATAAAAGATCTCCAGCTCTGAGAAAGAGCACTTAGACACATACATCATTTCACAGTGCTTTACAGCCCTCTCTGAGCGGTTTACAGAATCAACAGCAATTTGGATCCTCATTTTACCCACCTCAGAAGGATGGAAGGCTGAGTCAACCTTGAGCCTGGTGAGATTCGAATCGCCATATTGCAGGTAGCTGGCAGTCAGCAGAAGTAGCCTGCAATACTGCATTCTAACCACTGCACCACTGTGGCTCTTTCTGGTTTTGTGATTTGAAAATTAAATATTACATACAAAAAACAACAAATAGAGTCCCAGCTAAAGCCTTTGCAAATATTTTGTTAAAACTGCAAGAGAAAAAAAATTGTTCTTTTTATTTAGCTTAGTATTCCCCACTTGCCCCCAAGTAGAGATCTTAGTTATATGCATCTAGAACGGTATACCCTCAGGTGTACACTACCAGATGTTTGGATGTTTGCCTATGTTCACAGTCTCATGCAAATATCCAACAGGGTAATCAGAATAGGAAAATATCAGTTAATCCCGAAGATCCCAAGTCTTGTTTAGGAACAATAAGTGACTGATGGCTTGATGGTTTAAAAGCTGTTTTGAATGCATTTTCAAAACAAATATGATACTGGAGTTAAAAAACCAGAAATGATGCGCTAAAGTATAAAATTAGATTTCTTTTTTCAAAAATGAGATGATGCCATAAAAAGACAAATCAAACAGCCATCAAACTTCTATGCAATGAGACAGTATGTCTTTGTTGAAGAACAGGGGACTGTTTTTTTCATGTTTTTCTCAGTTTCATAAAAATAACTAGTTAGACACAGCTGGAAACAAGATGCTGGATGATGATGATGGGATTCTGGTTTGATTAGGTATAGATAGATCAATCCTATTCTGATCCATATCCATATTTTTATTCCATCAATTCCATCTCAACTACAATTTAAAACTATATTAAAGTTGCATTTCCCCCTAAATTTTGATTTTGAAAAACAGACTCTACCTGAAAACAGAAATACTTTGCAGGTGTTTTATCCAAAACATCCCAAAGGTGCTTTTTTTCAGTCAACTTTCTTTCTGCTTGGTTTCTCATCCAAGAAGCTTCTTCAGTTTTGCTTCAAGATGTCTTCAAGCAAAAAGAAGAAAGTCCTGCATGACTGCGAATCTCCATCGACATTTATCCAGAATGAATATGTTTATTTTTTTAAAAAAATGCATGCATATCAAGAGTTCGTACCATAACTTTCCAAAAGTTGCACAATTGTCCATTTTAATAGAATGGGTAGAACCGTGATGGCGACCCTATGACATGCATACTGGAAGTGGCATGCAGAACCAGGGGTGGGATTCTACCAGTTCACACCTATTCACTAGAACCGGTTGTTAACATTCTAAGCAGTTCAGAGGACCGGTTGTTAGAAGAAATTACTGGCCTAATCCTGTAAGGAAGGCAGGAAGGAAACATTCTGGTGTTGCTTACAGAAACTGCCTCTCCGTTAACCCTTATTACATTCTTGGCAGGACTAGACTTCCTGTCTCAGGAACGTCTCTGGAGTTTCTTTCCCCTCCTTTGCTGGTACTTTGCTTGTGTGGAGTGACCATTCAAAATTACAATGGCACTGAAAAAAGTGACTTATGACCATTTTTCACACTTACGACTGTTGCAGCATCCCCTCAGTCATGAGAGGCCAGGCGAGGAGATGCATGCCTCGATGTGAGTGATGTTGAGTTGGCCACACCCAGCCAGTCACGTGACCTCCAAGCCATGCCCACCCAGTCACATGACCACCAAGCCACACCCACAGAACCGGTTGTTAAAAATTTTGAATCCCACCCCTGTGCAGAACCATTACTGCCGGCATGTGAGCCCTTTCCCAGAGCAGGTCTACTGTGCATGGCGCATGTTGCCTACCCAACAGCTGATTGTCAGGTATCTGGTGCAGGGGGTGGGAGTACACGGGAGATGTGTGTGCATGCACAGAGATGCACGGTGCACACTGGGGGTTGCTCGCGCATGCGCAGAAAAACGCTGGGTGGGGGTTGTCGATTGGTTGCAATGAAGCAACAGTTGGAGTCAAAACCAGAGAACATTTTGTTTACATTCCAGATAATAATTCTACTTCTTTCCAAAATTCATTTTTCTGATTATATTTTAAAAATGCTAAAAATGATCCCCGGGGCAACTGCTTTCGACCAACAGCAATACTGATGGTCTTCTTCATATTTAACCATAGAACTTGGAATATCCATCCAACGAAAGAAGTGATTACTGTATTAACAGGGCCTCTTCTTAATCATTAATCGCTGCTCCTTTCAAGCAGTCAACCCAAACTGGTTTTGAGAACTATTGCCTGGTCTTCAAGTGACCGTCAGTGATGGGAAACTCTTTGGAGCATGCATTTGGAGGGGAATAAGGTTAAGATGATTAACTGGTGCTAACAAGTTTAGGATGTGGAAGAAATATTTTCTTGGACATCCATCAAAGAGAGGATTGAATGTTCCTAAGCTTGGTAGTGGAGAGAGGGAAGAAAGAATGGAGTGCTATGTGTTTACCAGATGATGTTTCCAAACCGTCTTTGCCTTCTTAGTCATTTTACCCAGCAAGCATAGTAATATTCTCTGCTCTTCCCTGCAACCATTCCTCCCCCCTTCACTGCGCCCCACTCCGTCTAACATAGACGGAGATCTGGTTAGAGATGTGTGCTGGCAGCTGGGCAGAAAAATGATCCAGGAGGAAGAGGGCAACGTCATGGCTCTTCCTGTTGATCAGGGTTTTGAGGACACCCTTTAGATACTGGTCCCAGCAGATCCTCAGGCTGCGCTAAAAGCCGGGCAAAGATGGATCTCAGCAGCTGAAAATGAATTGCTTTCAATACAACAACTAAACGCCTCCTAGAGAACTTAGCTGCCAATCAGCGAGACAAGAACTTTGCAGCTTTCCTTTTTCTCTGTAGGCAGGAACGGAGGGTGTAAATTTGGGCGAGGAAAGAGGTTTGGGGTTGTGGATCTTTGCATTTATCCTGAATGATGAGGTAAATGACAATTGCGGCAAGATGATGAATGCCTTGAGATCAGGCTGGTGATCTTAGATCCTTCATTTGAGCTGGATCTGTCAAGGTGCCATGCTGGAATTGAAAACAGTTGTGGTGGGGTTAGAGGAAAACAGTGGAGAAACCCCAAGGTAGATGGCAATGAAACTTTAAAGGGGTACAACTATTTTTTTGGTGGGGGGAGGGGTAATGCTTACTGCAAATATTTATTTTTATCCTTTTTTCTTACAATGGTCACTGCTTTGTTTCTCCAACTAGTCATGATTATACTTCAGCGCCAAGTAGATTTGGTTATTTGAAATTATAATTAATAGAGAAAGGAGAGTATACAAATGAACAGGTACCTGCATAAGTAGTACTAAAAATTACCACACTTGTTAAAAACAAACCTAAAGTACCGTGTTGCTCACCAGACTTCAAAATACTGTAACAACTTCTTGAAGTCAGAGAGTCCAAAATGTCCCCCAGACTTTGAAATCATCTCTAAAGCTTCTCTTGTCCAACCATATTTTTTTTTAACTGGGACAGAAAAATGAATTAAATATATAGGCACCAATATGAATGGTCTTAAAGTAATTTTAACACAGTTAAAGTTGAATCAAATTTAGCTTTTTTTTTTTATTGTAGCCTTGCTCACTCCTTAAAATGCCATGCTACTCAAAACTCAAAGGTGGATCAATGTTTCTTGCATAGTTTTCCTTTAAACCAGGGGGGTCTTCAAACTTGATAGCTTTAAGACTTGTGGACTTCAACTCCCAGAATTCCTCCTCCAGTCCTGTTAGCTCAGGAATTCTGGGAGTTGAAGTCCACAAGTCTTAAACTTGCCAAGATTGAAGACCCTTGCTTTAAACTCTTACCCAAGTAGATTGGGCTACATGATCTAATAATTCCCACTAGTTAGCATCATACAGCCCTTTTGAAGATGTAGTACAGAGGTGTGTCAAACTCACGTTGGCCCTGTCAGCTTGGAAGCCATTTTTTCTTTGAGGCTTCTGGGCTGCCACATTCAGTGCCTGGGAATTTGGGAGGGACGTCTTTCCCCTTCACTAAACCCGGCATGGGCATGGCCAGCATGTGAGGCATCTGGCCTGTGGGCTGGGAGTTTGACAGCCCTGATGTAGCAGTATCAGGAACTCAGCTGTTTCATCCTGAAAACAGGGCCTTCTAACTGGTTCCCAAGCTATGGCAGGGTACTTTTAAGGAGATCACTTGGCCTCACTCTCCCAGTGCCTAAAACAATGGCAAATGTACTTATTTATTTTTTGTTAAGCTTCTAAGTATTCATGCAGTGGTGGGATTCAAAAATGTTTACTACCGGTTCTGTGGACTGGCTTGGTGGGTGTGGCTTGGTGGCTTGGTGGGCATGGCTTAGTGGGCGTGGCAAGGGAAGTATACTGGAAAATCCCCATTCCCTCCCCACCCCACTAACCTGCTTTCCAGCTCCATTCTCCTGTGCAGGGCAACAAAAGAAGACCCAGCCGATCAGCTGGGACTCGGAAGGCAGAGAATAGGTGGGGACAGAGCCAATCAGAGGTTGTATTTGCCTGTTCTCTGAACTATTCAAAATTTCCGCTACCGGTTCTCCAGAACTGCTCAGAACCTGCTGTGCTCTCTTCAGCAGCACATATACTAAAATTGGAACGATACAGAGAAGATTAGCATGGCCCCTGCACAAGGATGACACGCAAATTCGTGGAAGCATTCCATTTTTTTAAAAAAAAGAAGAAACTGCTGAATACCACTTCTGTGTTCATTGTTTCCAACAATAGTGATTTTAATTTGTAGTTAATTTCTAAGTTTAACTAAACTGAAATTATTGTAGTAGTTTACACTGTGCATTTTGTGCAAGTGTTGAAAGATACCTAGAAGCATAATGCTGGAGTATAAATATAATAAATAGTCAGACATCCCGTGCATAAATTCCCTGAAATCTACAGGCATCTGAATGATTCCTGAACACAGCTAAACTGCCAGTTTACTGGGGTAAGCATATTATCTAATTACATACTAGAAGGGAGCATAAAGCAATGTTGGAAGGAAGTTAACCAATCTCCTAAAAGTCATCAGCATGGAGATCTGCCAAGACTTTACTGTCAAGGAATTGCTTCATGCTTTTAGGACAGAGGTCTCCAAACTTAGCAACTTTAAGACTTGTGGACTTCGACTCCCAGAATTCTGGGAGTTGCAGACCACAAGTCTTAAAGTTGCCAAGATTGGGGACCCTTGCTGTAGGATATTCCTTTGAGAGGTTCGATTGTTATCTGATCAAATCACATGCTGGTTTCTTCCATCGCACTTAGCGCATCACAAAGCGGAAAAGGGATTATATTCCAGTTCCTGCTCCAAAAGCTAGTCAATGCAACCACGTGTTGAAAGGAATATGAGTTTGGATGAGTTTGCTTTTGTTGAAATGGTCTCGTGAATTGTCCCAGTCATGTCCAGAGTCACAGTCTTTGCTTTAAAACAAGGAAGAAGGTTTTGAGTTTCAGCCAGGTACATGCTTATTCTTCCTTTACAACGTGTGCAGATCTGCTGAAAATTTCAGTTTGTCTTGACTTCCAATTATAAAAGAAATGGATTGTGAATCAGCCCAAAGACAGCTATTAATAATAGCTACCTGTTCCAGAGAAAACGAATATGCGGCGGCACCAAAATATGTGGAACACGCAGCATTCTATTATACAGGAAGGGGATTAGCAAAGACTAATACATGGCATTCAGAGAATGTTGGTTGAGCTGCAGACTCAGCACATTGGGAAAAACTGTAGTGCTTTTCAATGCAGACTGAAGATTGTCCAGACCAACACCCCTTATTTTCAAAAGAAACGAGAAAAAGTTCTACATCATCCAAAAACATTTAGCTAGTTTCAGCAGTTTATTCATCCATCAGGGGTAACACTATGTGCTACTTCCTAATGCTATACAAAGTCTGTGTTTTATAGTTGGAATGATGCTATTTTCATGAGGCAGTAATGACCCATTAAGCCAGAATGGTTTTCCCTGTGAATTTCTCCACTTCTCACTGTGTTACACTCAAATGCCAAGCTGAGAAAAATAACTTGGAATCACTAAACCAACCTCTATTCCATATCTATCCATGTCTAAATTAGATTTATAGCTTTCTAGAACTCTGATCGAAACATGTGCAGGCACAAACCTGTTCACACACACAACTGTCCTCAAGATTGTGTTGAGCATTTGTTCTGTTGTTGGGACATAGCTAAGTGAGACATTCAGCTGTTTGGGGTTAGCAGGGAGATATTTCTGGGGGAACTGAACCAGCAAAGAAGCAGCAAGGAGACAGAAAAAGGCTAAGTAGGAAAAGTCACTTGGATATAAAAAGTATAAAAGCACAGAGAAGAGCAACCAGGATGTTTAGGGGACTGGAGACTAAAACATATGAAAAACAGTTGCAGGAACTGGGCATGGCTAGTCTCGGGAAGAGAAGGACCATGATAGCAGTCTTCCAATATTTGAGGGGCTTCCACAGACAGGAAGGGGTCAAGCTATTTTCCAAAGCACCCGAAGGCCAGACAAGGAATAATGAATGGAAACTGAACAAGAAGAGATTTAACCTGGAAATAAGGAGAAACTTTCTGACAGTGCGAACAATCAACCAATAGAACAGAAGTTGCTCTCAGAAGTTGTGGGAGAGTCATCACTTGAGACTTTCAAGAAGAGATTGGAGTCCCATCTGTCAGAAATGGTGTAGGGTCTTCTACTTGGGCAGGGGGTTGGACTAGATGGCCTACAAGGTCCCTTCCAACTCTGATTATCTGTTAACTGTTAACTACAAGCATTTGCAGGTGGTCTGGTCTTTATATTTTCATATTGATAACACTCAAGGAGCACCTGCAAATGAATGCATGTTGGTTTTTTTTTAAAAAAGCATCCAAATATGGCATAATTATCAATCCATTGTTCTATTATGCTAAGTGGCTTGTCACAAAACAAAACTGTATACAGATCAAATATTCCCAGTTCTAATCTGGTGTCTGCTGATAAGAATGCAGAACTCGACAAAAAAAAAAATCTATCCCAAGATAAAATTTCCTTAAAAAGGATATCCATCCAGTGAACAAGCTCTCCTGAGAAAGGGAGAGATGGAAACTCAAATACAGGTAGTCCTGACCAAAGTTACAATGGCACTGAAAAAAGTGACTTATGACCAGTTTCACACTTATGACTGTTGCAGAATCCCCATGGTCATATAATCAAAATTCAAACACATGGCAACTGACATGTACTTATGAACTGTCCTGGGATCGTGTGATCATTAGTTGTGACTCTCCCAGTTGGCTTCCAATAAACAAGTCAACGGGAGAAGCCAGATTCCCTTAATGACCACGGGATTCACTTAACAACTGCAGTGATTCACTTAACAGCAGCCCAAAAGGTTGTACAATGGAGCAAAACTCACTTGAAAATTGCCTTGCTTTGCAGTGGAAATGCTGGGCTCGATTCTGGTCGTCCTTAAAGGGGGCATGCATAAGTACAGCGGTGTGCCTATCGCCCCTATCTTACTGTCCCCATTTATCTGTATTTACTCCCTTTGTTCTTGTTTATGTTCATATTTGTACTTGTTGTCTTGTACATGTTTGATAAACAAACAAACAAATCTGTCTCTCACTAGATTGAGATGAGGCTGGCACAGGGCTGCCTTCTCCCCCAAATAGCTTGGAGAAGCTTGCTTGTTTTGAAAGAAACTTTCTTTCCCGTCATTTTCTGTCTGTATTTTCCCGCAGAACATTTATGCAAGATGAGCAGGCAGGGTTGCAATGACTGCCAAGGGACAGGTGTCACGTTTCCCACCCTGCTGAGCTCTTTTGATGGCTGAAGGCCAACAATGGACAAATCGCACTTCCTCCCAACACAGCCTCTGCCCTGAATAGTCAGACCACTCCAAACTGGAATTTGCCTCCAGGAATCCAAACCATCCCTCTGCTGCTTCCCTCTAGAGCAGGAGGCCAGGCCAAGAGATAAGCTGGCATCCAAGCCTTTAATCTTAACAGGCAGGTCAGGAGCCCCAGAGTCTGTCCTGTTATGGTTTAGGCTAGAGCTAGCAGAGGCCCAGGAAGGGTATCCAAAAAGAACAAAGAATGAAACCATAAAGAAAACCATGGCTTGTTTCAAGGTTTCTCAACCTGGGCAACTTTAAGATGAGTCGACCTCAACTCTGAGATTCTGGGAGTTGAGGTCCACAGATCTTAAAGTTGCCCCAACATATGGGATGAGATGAGTTGAAGTAGGGTGGGATGGAGTGGGAAGAGCAGAGCAGAGCAGAGAAGAGAAGAGCAGAGAAGAGAAGAGAAGAGAAAACTTTTATTGTTATTTTTTTCTTTGGACACACTGACACACATTAAAAATGAAATTCTGTTGCCTGCTCTCAAAAGTGTACACATATACAACACATATACACATGCTACATACATACATACATACATACATACATACATACATACATATATAGACATGCTACGAGGGCATCCACAAAATAGATTACGTTTTGCGATAGAAAAAAAAACAAAGTGTAGGGAAAAAAATTTATTATATACACTTGAAAGTGACACTTAAATACTACTTTTCAACATATTCACTGAACAAATTGAGGCACTTATCATAGCGGTGAACAAGCTTTGTAATTCCATTGTCATAAAATTCAGCCGCCTGAGATTTGAGCCAGTCAGTCACGCCCGCCCGCAGTTCCGCATCGTCGTCAAAGCGCTGTGTTCCAAGCCAGGTCTTCATCCTTGGAAACAAGTGGTAGTCGCTTGGTGCAAGATCGGGGCTGTAGGGTGGATGAGGAAAACTCTCCCACTTGAAAGCATTCAGGACTTCTCGAGTGCCGTAGTTCGGCCATTTTTAAACTTAATGCACCATTGGCGCACTCCACCTTCAGTGATGATGTTGTCCCTGTACACTTCACACAGTTGCCGAAAAATTTCAATCGGTTTATGGTTTTTTGCCAACAAAAACCTTATCACTAATCGCACCTCACAACTCGCGGGATTTTCAATTGCAGCACACATTTCAAACGTTTGCTGTGAAATAACGGGCAACGATACGAACCTCCCACTAGCACGACTAGATGCAGACTGAGCGGCGGACGCACAGACCAAAGATGGCCACGCTAGCTCCGCCCCTTCTTGCTACAGACGAAAACGTAATCTATTTTGTGGATAGCCCTCGTATATACATATGCATACATATACACATACACACCCTAACATATAAGTATATATTAATATTAAGCACTGTCCATCTTGAATACAAAGCGGAAAGAGGAAACTTGAGGTATGTATGGTATCACAAGGTTGATACTGTATGGAACAAAACTGTGACTGAATCTAGATGCTCTGCTTTGGATACCATGAAGCCCCCTCCCAGAAGGTAACAGAGAAAACAGGTTGTGAAGAAGATGTGTAGCATCCCAGACAATACTGTGGCCTCTGCTCAAGCATTGCTTATATGGTATGTCCTGGATAGAAGGGAGTGAACTGTCAGTAATCTTTTCTGCCATCCTCACCACTTAAGAAACAATAATTTATTATGTTTTCCAATAGTTAAATATTTTTGCCACAACTAAATTCACTTTTCCAGTTTGAATAGCAAACTATGATAAATCACCTCTACGTAAGAACTCCAGCACAGCAATATTCTAGAACAAGGGTCTTCAAACTTGGCAAGTTGAAGACTTTGGATTTCAGCTCCCA